AGGTCCACCCCGGCGGGGCTGGCGCAGGAGCTGGAGCGCCTGGACGCCGACCTCCGGCGGGTGGGCCTGTGCTGCGAGGCTTCGGGGGCCTCCCCCCGCAACCGCTCCCTCGAGGGCCTCCACGAGGCGCTGGCCGCCACCGAGCGCGACTTGGAGCACCACCAGCGCCTCTTCCACAGCCTCTTCGGAAACTTCCAAGGGCTTGTGGCTGCCAACGTCAGCCTGGACCTGGGGAAGCTGCAGACCATGCTGAGCAGGAAAGGGAAGAGGCAGAAGGGTCCGGAAGCTCCCCGGAGGAGGGACAGGAAGCAAGCGGAGACTTGGACGGATGAGCCTGTCCAAAGGCGGGTGCTCTGGGAGGCAGGTGAGTTCCCGAGCCGGCGGGAGGCTGGGTGGGCCTGGGGGCACAGGGCTGTCTGCTGGCAGCTCTTCGGCCTCCAAGAAGGCGAGGTGAAAGAGAACGGGGGGACCAAGGGTCAGGACTATGCAGGGCCGGCTTTGCCCTGATCCCCCTTTCATTCAGGGCCAGGGGCCTCTTCTGGTACCTGAAGTATAAGCAGGTAGAAGTCACAAGAGCCAACTGTCAGTGAGCGGGCACAGGCCGGCCATGGAATGTTTGAGGCTCCTAGACACACGGCTGGCCACTGCCACCCCGCCTGTAGAGCGGGCAGGGAGAGCCTCCCTTTCCTGCCAGCCCCAGCCTCCAGTCCCCCCATCGCAGCTCTCCCTGTCCTCCCGACTTCACCCCGTGCATGTTGAATCAGCTCCCCTGTGTACAAATATGTGAACGGGGCCTGGTGTGGCCTGCCATGGGCAGTACCCACGCGCGGGGAATCCAGGGCAAGGCCTTGGGCCCTGAAGGGAGCTTGCTGTGCTGACATAGTTGGTCCGTCTCGCTGCTCCGCGCCGGGTCCCCTTTCTCGGCCTTCGCCATGTTGAGTCATCATAAACCCCAGCGGCACGTCGTCACTGCTGTCCTCCCTGCAGCTCAGTCAGGGGAAGTGTCCCGTTCACACAGCCAGTAAGTGGCACAGAGAGCCCTGAACCCTGTCCAAGCTGTCTCTAGGGTGCTGGCTCTTGCCCTGGGCCCTGGGCAGCCGGCTCTGAGCCTTCCCCGCCCCTCCCTGAGCGTGGCCCTGGGAAAGCGACCCCTAGACTCCGTGCCCCAGGTGATTCTCCCCTGCCGGAGAGGACAGCCTCGGGGCTATGGCCACCTCCTCATCCAGACGCAGGACCGGGTACAAGGCCGCCATCCGGGCTTGTCTATACCCCGGTGTAGCCTGGCATGTGGGAAGTCTGAGGCCTGGCTGAGGATCCCATCCCAAGCTCTCCCTGCTCCTGCCGACTCTCCATCCTGGCCTTGGAGGCCTGGGGGCCTGGGGGCGGTGGACAGAGCACGGTCTCTAGCACCACTTACTCGTCTCAGTTTCTCCCTCTGTAAAATGGGAGAATCGCTACCTACATCGAAGACTTGTTATGAAGACTAGCAGATACATTTACCGAATACCTGACCTAAGGTCTAACATTTAGTAGAAACCAGTCAACGTCTCCCCGTTTCCCCAGCATTTTCAGGGCCAAGGCTCTGCACTAATTCTTCCAGCTTTTTTCCTCCTGCGAGTGGTGCAAGGCCTCAACTGCCTGAGGGTGTCTGAGTTTACCACTGCAGTAGTTTATTTCAAAAAATGTTTTTCCTTAAAAATAAAAATTCCCGCTTATTTGTCTTGTAGAAAGACCACAGGTCTTGAATCTGTGCCCTGCAGGGAAGGCCACTCTGAGTTTACCTGCTAGCAAATCAGAGAAGCACAACCCTTGAGCCTTCTGAGGGGCAGGTTGGACCCAGGGGCCAGTAGGGTCGGCCTGGAAGGCGGCACTGAGCGGCCGGCAGGCTGGCTGCAACGGGTGGAGAGAGAGCCAAGTACCGGCAGAGGGCGCGCTGGGCAGGCATCCCTTGGGCTGGGCGAGCGCCCCACCTCCTGGCTGCTGGGGGAACTGCAGAGCCAGCTGCGGGCCTTTGACGGGACACAATCTTACTGCAAATGGGAAAGTTATTCTGAACTCTCCAATTCTCAGAAAATCTTCCAGAACCAAAGAAGAGCAAAATTTTGACATTCACAAGACTATTGCTGGACCGGGAGCCAAAGAGGTGGGGCTGTAGGTGGGATCAAGGCACCAACCACGATGCAAATTGCCCCTCCTTTAGGCCTTGCTTGGTTTTATCCCCTAAGAAACGGGGAGTTTGGTCTCAACCAAGAGACACAGAGAGAGAGATACAGAGAGACACACAGAGAGTTGAGGGAGCACATGGGGAACATGACTTCATCAGTGCCAAGGCCAGTGTCATGGTCACAACCCCCTGGGACTCACCCTTCCCGTTTCCTGGCTCTGTCCCCCACCCCGCCCAAGAGTCACGGCCAGGTAGCTGGGTTGGCTCCTTCCTCACTGTACACTCACCCTCTACACGGAGAGGCTCCCTCTGGCTCCACGCCTGCATGTGGGCCTGGCGGGCCTGCCATCTGTGTTCTCTTCATCTCGCTTGTCCTCCCATATGGCTGGCTAAAATGCTTTTTTACGTGGGAAGAGCACTGGAAATCAGGAGATCCAAGGACAGCTCCCAGTGTGGTAATTTGCTATGTGTGTCTTCTGGAGCCGGCTTTCCCTTTCTGGGCCTGTTTCCCCATCAGTAACCCTAGGGCTCTGTGCAACAGTTTGAAAACATTAAGATGACCCGCTTGAAGAGTTTTCTTGTCTGGTCCCACCTGCTCTTCTCTCTCCAAGGTCCCGTGCCAGACATCCAGTAGGAAGGATGCTGCAGTGTTCTTTCCCTCACCAGTGTTAGCATTATTACCTGGGGGATAGGTAGTATTTTCTCTCTTGCCCTTGGGCATCTCAAGATCCCAGGAGGTGGCAGTCGTGTGGAAGTCAGAGACCCGGGTGCCTGCCCCGTCTTGCCCTGGGCAAGCCACGCAGCTTCGGTAACCCGTTAAGCACTCAGGACTCAAGGTTTCCTCGGGGGGGGGGGGGGTACTTACCTCTCAGGATGTTGGAAGGAAAGGGGAACAAATGAAAAAGTGCTTTTTAAAAATGTACACTCGTAGAGACAACCGACTTGTATTTTCCTCTCAATTAGTGACCCAGTGAGTGTTGGCCAGTTGGCTCCCACCCTCTGAGGCCGCTATTGGGAACACCTGGGTTATCTAGAAATAGTGAGCTATTCCTACTGTTAATAAGGTGAGAAGGGCGGGTCTCAGGGTTTGGTTTCCCACCGGGGGGAGTGAGAGATAGTCACTGAGCACTTTCCTCCTGCATTCCAGGCTCCCCTGTGGCCTTCTATGCCGGCTTTTCAGAAGGCACGGCTGTGCTGCAGACAGTCAAGTTCAACGCCACTTACATCAACATTGGCAGCAGCTACTTCCCTGACCATGGCTACTTCCGAGCCCCTGAGCGTGGGGTCTATCTGTTTGCGGTGAGCGTTGAATTTGGCCCGGGGTCAGGCGCCGGGCAGCTGGTGTTTGGAGGTCACCATCAGACCCCTGTCAGTTCCACCGAGGAGGGGAGGGGTAGAAGCACGGCCACGACCTTCGCTATGGTCGAGCTGCAGAAAGGCGAGAGGGTGTGGTTTGAGTTAACCCAGGGATCAGTCATCAAGAGAAACCCACCAGGCACTGCATTCGGGGGATTCCTGATGTTCAAGACCTGAACGCCGGGCACAGCCCTGACCAGACGTCGTGGACTCACCCAGCTCTCCTTGGCCTGGAGCTCTGGCCAGGGTTGGTCTGGAGACCATCCAGTTGGTCTAGCTCTTCCTGGAAAACTTCTGCAAAGACGATGCGGTGTTTGGGGCCTTCCTCTAGATACACTGGGTTTGCCTGTTTCTTAATGACGAGAAGAACTGGAAGGCTTCTGTCTGGGCAGAACCTGGCCCGGGGAAGTGTGAACCTTAGCTTGGCGTGCCGTCTGAGGCAGGATGGCATCGTGGGCTTCAGCTCTTTGCCACACCCTGGGTCCTGCAGCTTCTTTGGTGTGTTGCTCCTCCTGTGGTTGGAAACTTTAGAACTTTCTCCCACTTCTTCTCCCTAATCTTATGCTAGAAAATCATTCCTCCCCAGAAGGACTATGTTTAAAATGGAGGCGACATCTTGGACAATGTTGGAAACCAGTCTCCACCCACTACAGGACAGTAGGAGAAAACCGACCTGTTTGGCTTCTATTAGAAATGGGGACAAAGGCCTCGTTGAGTTAACCAAAGGAAACAAAATTCCCTTTCCCTCAGTTTCGGTCCTTCCTCGAATTTATCTGTAACCTTAATTCCACTTCTTTTTCTCCTTGCCTCCACATGATAAAGACGAAGACATGCCAAAACATGAACTAAAATGTGTACAGCCTTCACCCTTTTTACTTCCTCCACTCGCTGATGACCATCCTCATTCTCATGAGCATCTCTAACCAGGAAGGAGGCTGAGGGAGGTAGGGAAGGACGATTGTCAAAATCTCCTTCGGTAATGATCAGCTCTGGAATAAAGCAATGCCCTTCAAATCTCGGCCTGGTTTCTTTATGGAGAGCGAAAGGATTCGGTAAAGGAGGTAGAAATATGGGACAAAATGAAACGATTTGGGATAAATGTGACTCTCGTGATTCCAGGCTGTATTTGCCGTCACAGTTCCAGTAAGTTCTGCGTGACACGTTCAGAGCCCCCCCAGCAGGCTGCGGGGAGAGTACTGGCTTAGTAACACTTCGGAGTTGCAGCTGTTCCCGCAGTATCGGTGTAGGGTTTTCAGAACATTACAGTCCCTGCAGCAAACGGGCTTGCGAGAGCAGCCATCTGGTTGTCAGGACGTGTTCGTGTTGTGGTAGTCAGGTACCCCATGTGTGTGGAACATACTCTTCTCCATAACAAAACTGGATTGGACGGGGCAGTGAAAAAGGACAGGAGTTGGTTGTCAGGGCTCACAAGGGTCTCAGCCCTTCTCCTTGTTTCCGAAGGGTCATTAAATCAAACAGTTGTCCCCCAGAACTTATTTCCCACTAAGCTTTGTGTGCTCGATATGCTAAAATATCAGCGTTAAAAGGAAGAGTATGCCAGGCCACTCTGGTGCGGACGGTAAATCACCACCTCTTGAACCGTTTCCATCGGTGGTATGAGGCAGTCGGTCGAATAGCTTTCATTAAGTATCTTGGTGTTTTATTACCTTGACCACAGAGTTGACTCTGGCCTTCCTGCTCTTCCCTCCGGCCAGGGCCTCTTGCCCGGTGCAGCTCTCAGCTGCCGAGACTAATGGCAACCCAAGGCATGATGTACTGGGGCCGTTCTCGCCCGAAGGTTGGAGAGCCGGTAGCCCGTCGCCCTGGCCGCTAGAAAGCCCTTGCCGTGTCTTCCTTCTGCTCCATCTCGCTCTTACTGGGCAAGCTGTACTGATGACTAAGTGGAGATCTGAGGGTGGTGCGGTCTTACCATCTAAGATTTTCGCTTGGAATGGCTTGCACATAATAAGCAGAGTGAACTGATCTCCATAAGGGGCACCTGCCCCCCGCTGCTCACGTGGCTGCTGCTCTTAACGGGGTTATGAATGCAAGCGCTAACTGGTAAACTCGGCCAGCAGCGTGGACGAGTCCCTCCAGAAGTTTCTGGGATGAGAACTAGAGAAACAATGGTTCTTTTAAATAGGATGCTTTCCATTCAACAAAACCAATTTCACAAAACCTTAATATCCAGTTTAAGTGCAAATTTCCTGTTTAAACACTTCTATGATGAGGACACCAGATTAACAAGAATTCTAAAGTTCACTTGACAGGTTTCTTATCTCCACTAAGGCATCTAATATCTCTGGGTGCAGACTCTTTGCCAGTGCTCCCTAAATAGACCCCCGGTTACCCAGGCCAATGTTAGGACACCCTTCACTCGTGGCATCCAGAACAAGGCAATGGACTGAGCACAGAGTGGTATCATACCTCCCCAGATCTGATGGAGAAACAGATTCAAAAATAATACTGAAAAACAAGAAAGGGTGCCATAAGCCGATCAGAAAATTTTCATAATTTCTGCAAAAAGGGAAGTAGAAGGACTGACTATAAAATGAAATAGCAACAGGAAACCATAACCCAAAACATTTGAGACTGTTGGAGATGGGAGCGATTTCAGGGGAACCCCAAACTCAAACTCAGCCCCTAACACGCTTGGGGGGAGTGAGTGGAGGAGGAGCAGCCGAGGGGCAGCCCCAGCGGGTCCCGGCTGTCGCTTGCCCCTGCTAAGCGGCTAGCAGCGGTGGCCTCTGCCCGGAGTCCGGCAGCGCGGGTCCATCCTGGGCCCCCAGCTGCAGGCGGCCACGGACTCTCTGGAGGCAGGAAGCTCCCAGACGACATGCACAACCTAACCGAAGTCTGGGCCCGCGGCAGTCAATCCCGAGGTGTGTCCCCACACACAGCATAATGCCAAAGTAACACCTGACCTCTGCTTTTATTTCAGAAACAACTTGTAGTTTAGAAACACTGTGGAGAGGATATGTATGGTCTGTAAACAATGTTTCTGAAAGCTCTCCTTTCCTCTCACGCTCTGCCACTCTGCTGATATCCCAGGATATTTGTCTCGAAAACATCCACAACTCCAGTCCAGCTCTAGCCTGAGCAGGATTGCTCCATCCTCCTCTGTCAGGAAAGCTCCCCCAAACCTGGCCTAACAATGACAAAACTCGCTGAGGTGGGGGTGGGGGGAGGTAAATACGCAGAGTGGGAAAAGCCTGAATCCTAGGCAAGAAGAAAGGAGTTTTTTTTTTTTTTAAAGATTTTATTTATTTATTTGAGAGAGAGAATGAGATAGAGAGAGCATGAGAGGGGGGAAGGTCAGAGGGAGAAGCAGACTCCCCGCTGAGCAGGGAGCCCGATGCGGGACTTGATCCCGGGACTCCAGGATCATGACCCGAGCCGAAGGCAGTTGCTTAACCAACTGAGCCACCCAGGCGCCCCAGAAAGGAGCACTTCTTAATTGTTGCTCTAAGAAACCGCTGTTGCCCCATCACTTCTTGATAAAAACAGGAAGCCGAGAAACACAGAACTGAGGGGAGCAGGGGTTCACACCAAATACAAAGGTGAGCAACTATGCCAAAGTGCCAAACATTTGTGGAAAACTAGTGTCATGAAGAAGAGGATCCAAAACTCAAAAAACTGAAGATTTTGGAACATACACGTCTCTAGAAACAATACAGGAAACTGGAAATCTTATTTGCCACTCAGGTCCTGGTCTCTAAATACCATCCTTCCTGAGGGAATCAGAGAGCCTTGGAGAAATGGCTGACTCCATGGCTGGGGCAGGGGAACTACCAGATGCCCTTGGAACAGCTTTTAAGTGCCAAAAAGTAAGAAGAGCTCAAGAAAAGATGAGCACGTGGAAAAAGGACTCAAGAGCCAACTTGATGAGTTTTTAGTAGCCAAGTCTGGATCAATTTGAGCATCAAAACAAATAATGACCTAATAGACTCTAACTCATTGCATAGAATAAGAATCCATGAGTTCCTACTGATAGTAAAAAAATAAACAGGAGAAGACGGACCTCTCCCTTACAGAATGCCAATTAATGAATGTAGATGTAATAATGCAAGTAGAAAATCACTACTTTATAAGCACTGATTCACATTAGAATTACCAATGGCTAGAACACAGTCTCAAATTATCTCCATAACATACTAATTACAAAGGGAAAATCACCGCTTTACAGTAAAGAAACTAGGTTTCACCTTGAACAAGAGGTTGACAGTGATATCATTAATAATGGGACACACGCCATGGCCTCCCAATGGGATGCCCTGAGAAGGACACAAATATGTCCACAGAAACTCTGGCCTTTTACTCTAGAAAATGTATCACAAAAAAACAGAAACTGGAGAACTGTTTCAGGTTAAAGAATGAGACATGACAACTAAATGCAATGCAAGATCCTGGACAGACTCTGGACCCGGGAAATGTGCTCTCAAGGACTATATTAGAACTGGGAAAAGCCTGCAGAGTATCGTGTTGCTGATAAGTGTTATGGTATCAATGTCAACTTTCCTGATTTTGAAAATCATATGTAACTGGTTTTGTAATGGAATATCCTTGAAATACTTAAAGAGGCACAGCTCTGTAATCCAAGTAGTTCAGAAGAGGTTATGTGTGTGCTCAAACGTTCCAACACCACACATTTATAATTCTTATACACACACACAGACTAACAAGGCAGTTGTGGCAAAATGTAATAGTTGATGAATCTGGGTGAAGTGTAAATGGCATTCTTTGTACTTTTCACAACTTTTCTGGAATTTTGAAATTATTTCCAAATAAAAAAAAATTTGGTTGAAATAAACTTAGTAAATGGGCTGGAAAGCAGAAGGTAAGACGGATCATATAACAGACATGTTAAGAAATATGGAAGAAACACCCAGGGGACCTAATATTCGTCTAATAGGAGTTCTAGAAAGAGTAGAGTAAAAGAAGGGAAGGGAGGAAATAAATAGTGGAAGCTCCCAGGTCCAAGGAAAGGTTAAAAGTACCCAGTCAGTACTAACACAAAGAATACATCTAGACATGGCAAGCTTAAACTTCAAAACATCAAAAAGAAAAAGAAAATTCCGTTTTGTTTTTTAAGATTTGAGAGAGAGAGAGAGAGAGAGCCCTTGCAGGAGCGTGCACAAGTGGGGAGGGCGGAGGGGCAGAGGGGGCGAGTCTGAAGCAGACTGCCGAGCACTGAGGCCGACATGGGACTCGATCTCACAACCTGAGCTGAAGCCAAGAGTCAGATGTTCAACCGACTGTGCCACCCAGGCACTCTGAAAATTGTTTCTTGAATGAAAAAGTAAGTTAAATGATGAAGGACTGAATTAGACACACATCAGACTTCTTACTGGCAACAGGGATGCTGGAAATATCTTCCGTTAGATCCGATCTCCAGCCAGTCTAGCCAAGAATGAAGACAGAATCAAATTGTAAGTTTTATTTTTAGGTGTTTGATTGAAATGCCTTCCATTGCAGTATTATTTGTGCCACAGCCTTTCAATTCTTCCTTTTTAATGTCTTTCAACGTCTTCTTGGATTTGAGTCCTGCAGCAGAGCAACAGAGAACAGAACGGCAGGTGCACTTCATCACCCTGTCATCAGCCAGATTTTAACTTTGCTTTACAGATGCCTTCCCTCTCAACAACAAAGGCCCTAGTCCTTTCTTCCTCTAGCCTGAAAATATTTCCAACATGAGCATTTTATACCGACTTTTGACTTTCAAATAATGGTAACATTTCCGGTTCCCTGTATAAAATTTGCGATATGGGAAGTGGGGTGGAGGGAGGAAGCAGCCAGCATCTAGAATCACCTTGAACTTCGTTCTGAGCATACATGGGACACTTCAGAGTAAAAGTGATGAGACAAAGGCCAAGAAGATACAGTTCAGAGGAGTAACAGGTCGGCCACATGTATTCCACCCAAAAACGAGAATCACAATCTCCACCTCCAAGGGCAATCACGGATGAACCTTTCAGCCCTAGCCTCTGCTTCTAGCGGACATATTTTGCATGTGTGCCT